TTTCAACACATAAATTTATTCCAAACCTCTGGTTTGAATTTTGGCACGTATTCATTTAGTCCTAAGCCCATAAAGCTGTTTTAGTCACGCAGGTTTACTTGGTAGATTCATCTTTTGCACGTAAATTCATTTTTTACACGTAGTCACTCTGTGATTCGTTCATTCGTTTCAATGGTAAATTGATACTGGCATATGTCAGGGAGTCAAATCCGCCATCAGCTTGCTTCTAAGCAACCTTCGAAAGAGGGAGCCATCGACAACCTTGCCAGTGATTGCTCTTACTTTCATTTCAGCTACGTCATTTATTTAAACACGCAAGCTCATTTTAAAATATGCATAACTACGTGCGTTATAATGAGGGCGCAAAAGGATATAGTGTTTACTGCCATCCAGCGCTGCGTGCTGCGCGGTCGTATTGCAGATATCACGACGAGATTTAAGTGTTAGTAAAAACCTCTTCACTCAAAATGTCCAAGAAAGTTTTTGTCCAAAAATAGATTATTCTCGAAAAAATGAAGCAATTGAAAAAACGTCTTCCAACTCATCTGACTATTTTAGAAATTTTTTCGTAAATAATCCTTCAGAAAAGTTGCCCACAAAACATCATGAAAATTCGGAAAGAAAATTTTCCTGTATTCCTGAAACGTCTGCGAAAAACTCATAAAAATTCCCAAGTTTTTACAAAAACCCATCGAGAAAATTGCGAAATTCCGCAAAAATTTATAAAAATTCTACAATGCTTGCAAAAATTTGTGAAAACTCACAACATGTCCCAGTGATTTTAAAAAGCTGTGGAATTTCATAAAAATTCGTGAAAATTTTCTAAAGAAATGCAAAATTTCATAAAAGCTCATGAAAGTCCATAAAAAGCTGTGAAAGCTCATTAAAAAACCGTAAAAATGCGTGAAAATCCGCAAAAAGTCGTAAAATCCTTAAAAGTTTGTTCATAATGTAAGAGGAGGCAGCTCCGTGTGTGGTCCCTCACCAGTTCAGCATCACTAGCAGTCATTGAGTCAGGGCAAAAATTTCGATGGCTCCCTCTTTTAAGCATCTCATGCACAAGTGTAGTGGAACTATCCCTCAGCCCTCTTGCATGTTGACTTGGAAAGTGTACCCAAAGGTTGGGTAAGTACCACGGGGCAAACACAGCACCAGCTTGCGGTCAGGTATTTTTAAGAAAAACTACATCCAGGATATAAAACTCGCAAGTGCTACAGAGAAGAGGTAGTAAGAGCCGAAAAAAGAGTTATCTGGGGGAGAAAATATGCAGACCCGCCTCACCTTATACTATACTTGAACAACTGATTAGGAGGTAGTTTCTTTACAGCAGCGCCCTAGTGACCGACCGTTGTCCAGCGAATGCTGTTACGAAGTGTGGGGGACGCAGTGGGAGCTCCTTTCAAATATATTCCCGAAATACTTGGAGTATCTGCTGATTCATAGACCGGTTTCTCTAGCTAAAACATAGCTGGCTACTTTTTCAGTTGCTTTGACCAATGTTGCATCGTCTGCGGTCATCGCTGGTGGTAATCCTGACACACCCGTATTGTCTGCTGAAGGGAAGGTGCAAGGTAGAAGGCTGAAACTTCACAGAGATGTTCCATGCCCACGTTCAATCCGACAGAAATACCTGCTAAGGTTTTAGCCGTTTTGCGATATGCTTGCTGTGCGTTGAAAGCAATATTACCCCTCTCTTACTTGCCACTAGTCTCAGGCTACGCTGAAAAGTACCTCCCCCGCTAGGAGATACTGTCACGGAAGTCTCGCGAAAAGCCAGCAAAAACGGACAAAATGTGTGTTGCTGCCATAACAGTCCAGACACATATAGTGATATGTATGCAACTGCTCTGACCAATATAAATGAACGAATTTGTTGGGGGAATTGGTGTGTTTAGCTGTATATATTCTGGACGATCAATTCGTTTCTACGACTGGCCATCAACGACAGTTACACCAAGCGAGGTGCCTTGAACTGCTTTAAAGGAAGGGTTGCTTTGCAGGTGACTTATCAAGGTTGGAAGAGGGCTATCACTCAAGTCACTCATTGCAGTACTTTCGTCTGTCAGGGAAAAATCCCCTCTAACTGGTCGGGGATTGTGTTGCTGACGTCTGTTATTACATTTCACGTGGCTAACACTGCCCAGCTTTTTTTTCCCCAGAATTACACAAGTCCAGTATGTTCACGCCGCAATCCCGGAGCCTAAATTCGTACGCCATCTTCCATAAAGTCCCCTTCGGAAGCATAGTTTTTCCCCAATTTTAGTCAAAAGTCAAAACCCTCTCCGTATCACTGTCAATGAGAAGTGGAGATACGTGGATGTAGCCCGAATGGCAGCAAACGCCAACAACAACCACTCATAAGCAAGAATGCCGATGGATCAGTCCCACAGGAATTGCTTACGGGCAAACTAATGACCAGTTTGAATATGCCCTGCACATGCCAGTACCAATTTACCGTAACTCCTGCTAAAATTCGGCCCCGGCCTGCCCGAATTCTCCCTCCAAATTCTCCGTGACGTCCTCAGCTGGCAAATTTCCAAAACTTCGTTTCGGCTTGGACCGTGGGGTGAGTTTGGAGGTGTACGGTAAGCCTAAGTTTATTGACAAAAGGGGGTTTTTCTGTCGAAATAAATCGGTGGGTCTTCATGGGATTGTTTTTTTCCCGGTGGATTTGGGGGTAAAAACTCGAACAGATGACAGTACAAGGGCTTGGCATAAATCGATACAAGATGTTGCTGAGTCCTGGAGAACATTCAGGGCAAAAAGGCTGGAATGAATAAGGGGGTGACGGAGGGTGGGGG